TTATATTCATATTATAGTGATTTCATTTTTTTGTCATCATTTTCTTCAATTCTCCTATCATTTCTATTTATTTTATAACACGTTATCGGCACGAAGCTCTAACCAATCGAGACAATAGACCATGAGGTATGTATCTACTAAAAAATTTAATCAATTGTTTCAACAATTGGATTTCTTCTACACAAGTACTCTACCAAAAGATCTAAATTATTTAGATCATTAAGAGGTATGTATCTAACTTATTCATATACTTTAAATCTATTGATACATGAAATATATATTTAAAAAACTTAAATGATCTACTAATGATCTAATATATGTTATTTGAAAAGATTTAATTTTATTATTATATTTGTTCTTATTTTCTAATATTATTATTATCTATTGTATTATAGAATTTTTATCATATCAAACCTCATAAACTTGATTTGGTGACTCTTGATATTTTGAATAAGAATTATTGATTATGAGTGCTTGATTTTGAAAAATATTCTCTACTTTTTATATCTTGGATATGCTCCTGCAGTAGCATGTCAAGAAAAAAGTTTAAGAAATATTTTGAATCGATTTTATACTTGTTTGTGGCTAAATAAAATGAAAAAGAATAAATCCCATCCAATTGGATCACTCCATTCCCTAAAGTGAATGTGATAATTTATAATAATTTTAGACATGGATGAAGATATGGTCATAGCCATAGATATGGTCGAAATAATTATCATTATAATCGTAATGACCATAATATTACATCTCACCACCGAAGTGGATAACTATGAAAAAAAGATATAAAAATAGATAAAGTCAGTATTCTGAAAAATAAATATTATAGATGTGGAATGAATGAATATTGATCGTGTACCTATCGTATACCAAAGTACCTCATTGAGGCTCGTCAAGCCTTATTGAAAAATATAGAGTAAAATATGAAAACCACTTTTATATATCAAAGTAATAATAATTAAAATTAATTACTTGTTAGTTTTTCTATTTATAAATAAAATATTTTATATTTCTTATAATATATATCGTATATTGATGATTACAAATTTATTTTACTATTTATTTATTTGTTTATGTTTATGAGGCATATATTGATTTATTTATTTTTTATTGATTTATTTGATTATTTATTTCATGTTAATATTATATATGATAATATCAATCTAATAGAAAGCTCTAGAAGAGCAATTATATTATTATCTAAAGAGATAGATTTTGAAGGCTCTAGAAGAGCGATTATATCATGACTTGAAGAGATAAATTTTTGAAGCTCTAGAAGAGTGAATAAATTATTACTTGAAGAGAAAATGTTTAAAGGCTCTAGAAGAGTCGATATATTATTACTTGAAGTGACTAATTTAAAGGCTTCAGAAGAGCAAATATGTTATTATCTAAAAGGATAAATTTATTATGAATGATGTACTATTATTTTCAAAGTATCATAGGAATTTGTTGAGTTTCAAAGATACTCATCTGATTTGATATCATATCAAAATAGCAAATGTGAATACTTATATGTTATAATCATTATATCGGATAGAAAATATCTATCAAAAAAAATTTATCCGTTTTCTCTTCTAGTCTTTATTACAAACACTCGAAATGATTGAAACAAATATTCTAGTAAACTAGAAGTTTACTAATTCAAATACTTTTACTATATGACATGATCAATTGTGCTATCTTGGGTCTTTTATGATGCAAAAAATTATTAAAAATTCATATGGACATCTATTGAAGAGCTAGAAGATTCTTCAATTTAATGAACTTTCATGTGCTCGCATGTTGCCAAGGTAAATTGATGATTAAGCCATCATCAAGTAAAATTGAGTTGAATCTCTAGTATTTTAGAATGTATTCAAGGTGATATATGTATCAATTCATCTACCATGTGGACCATTTATGCATCCACGGATGGTCACATATATACTTATTATCTACTCGAAACCCGAAGCTTTCGAGATTGCTAGTAAATAATTTGATTTCGAGCATAAATTTTAAATTATGCCATTAAAACAAGTCACCTTGATAATGTTGATGAATTCATTTCTCAAGTATTAAATTATTATTGATCGGCTATTGAACATCTTGTTGATCATGTTCATACTAAAAAAGGTTTAGCAAAATCATTTATCAAAAAGCTCCAATTGATAGCTAAACCATTATTTAAAAATAAAACTTTCGTTTATGTTTGGGGATATGCGATCTTATATGCAGCAACACTTATTCGCATATGACCCATAAGTTATCGAAATTCTCTCATCTTTAATTGATTTATGTTCATGAGCTAATTATTTCTTATTTAAGAATTTTTGGCATTACGAGTGTATATCCTTAGTGCTCCTCTATAATGAAATAAAATGAGCACTTAAAAGAGACTAGGAATATATGAATCCTCTTTGATAATTCAATCTCTTGATTCATGAACAAGAGGAAATTTTTATAGCTCGATTTATCGACTATCGTTTTGATGAAATAGTTTTTTCAACATTAGGGGAAGAGAATAAGCAAAATAAGCAAGTTGAAAATGTTGAAAAAAAAATTACATGGAGTACTCTATCTTGTATCACCTTGATTCGTATCGAAGATAATGTGAACTAGAAGTTCAAAAGATAATTCATTTACTAGGTATTGAAACCAACTCGCCAAATGCATTCTCGGATCTTAAATGAGTAACTAAAATGTATGTCCCCGCTACGAATGCTTCTATTAGAATTGATGCCCTAGAAGGGCGGTCTATTAATATTATAACCAATGAACCTAAAGCACGCCCGAAGCATGGAAGACCGATCGGTTCTAAAGATAAAAATCCCTAAAAAGAAAAAGGCAAGATGAAAATATTCGTGAAATGGTCCAATATATTTCGATAATAGGCCTCTAGAAGAAATCCAAATACTTGAGAAAAATCAAGAGATTTTGATAAATTATATCAATACATGGAGAAAATAGGATCGAAAAGAAATATCTATTGATAAGATTTTTACATATAATATTGCAATTGATATTATGGATGAAAATAAGGATCCCGAGCCTAAATTATTGAAGAATGTTGACATAAAGATGATTGATCTAAATGAAAAGAGCAATCTAGGTAGAATTATGTTCTCTTGTAAAAGAGTAGTTTTTTGAACCCATAGCTAAAACACACGAAGATGTTAAGCTAGTGAGATACAAATAAGTATTTATGCGGACACGAAATAAGAAAGACAAGATTATAAGATACAAAGGAAAACTTTCAAGACAAGAGTTTTTGCATAGAACTGACAATGCCTATAAAGAGACATATTCTCCTATAAAGAGACATATTCTCCTATAATGGATGCAATTATATTTTATTATCTCATTAGCCTCGGTAAAATATATGAAAAAAAATTCATATGTATGCATTTAATGAATGTGATCACAATTTATTTGTTCGTTTGAGATGAATCAATATGAAAGTCCTAGAAGGACTTAACATGCCGGAAGAATGTAATATATATTCTTGAGATAAGAATTCAATTAAATTATAGAGATCTCTATTAGGATTATTAGTATTTATTTTATTATTTTAATTTTTAGAAATTCAATTTATATTATACTTTTTATATTTTATTTTTATTTTTTATTACTAACCCGTATGCATATGATATAATCACTTCAATAATTATTGAAAGGAAGTTATATATATATAAACCCTATTTGTTCATATCTTTTTATTTGAAAAAGGGTTTGTTGTATATGTTGATAACTTAAATATTATTGAAACTCCCGAAGAGATTCTAAGTGTTATAAGTTATCGAAAAAGGAATTTGATGTGAATATCTTGAGAAAATAAAATGTTATCTCGATCTGCAGTTCGAGCACTCGGAGAATGAGATTTTCATTTATCAATCAATTTATATCGAAAAAGGTTCTACAATGATTCTATATAAAGATCATTCATTGACTAGCTCAATGGCGGTTTATTTACTTGATATCCAAAAAGACCTTTTTCGACCTTGAGAAGATAACTAAAAACTACTTGGTCCTGAAGTACTATATCTTAGTGCCATCGGTGCATTAATATATCTTGCTAATAATACTCGACTCGATATAGTTTTTTTTATAAATTTATTAGCAAGTCATAATTTTGTTTCAATACGAAGACATTGAAATAAAGTTAAATATATACTACATTATCTTCGAGAAATTAGAATTGATAGGTCTTATGTCTTTCGAGAAAATTATAAATTAGTCTAGAGAAATAAATTAATTAGTTCTTTGGATTTTTTTCAATTTTTTTATTTCTTTTTTGTAAGAAATAGAAAAAAATATGAAAAAATCGAAGAAAAAATAAGATATTTTATAGAATAGAAAATATTAAATAAGTTATGATCAATATTGATTAAAAAAATTAAATAATTAATTTTAAAACTAGAAAGACTAATTAGTTTATTTTTCTATTGTTACTGTGCGTAGGTCAAGTTCGGTTGAATAATATTAACTGTCCGATTCACGTTTTCAAACCTTAACCAAGTCAGTTAATATATATATATATATATATATATATCGTACTATTGCACAAGACTATTTTTGTTACTAAATCTTGAGCCTTGCTACTATTTAACTCTCACTATTTTTTTTTTCATACATGTCAAACACAAAATAATTATTTTCAAGTAATTTTTGTTAGCATAAACCAATAATGAAAAATTACATTATTATTCAGATGTGAAAATATTTTTTAAAAAAACTTATTTTGCATGAAACAAACTGAAATTTTCACTACTCACCAAACACACCCTAAGGTGCACGTGTAATCATTTTCGCTATTTGGTTTTCAAGCCCAATTATGACAAAATGAAAGCCCATTTTCAGCCCATGATTAACAGGCCTTGACAGTGACACCAAGACAAAAATTTTCAGCCCAAACTTAAATTCAGAGATGGAGACTAACAAAATGAAATAAGGAAGAAATTCCAAAGAACTGAGAATTTCAGCGATCGCAGATAATCCCACAGTTCAGCCCACCTCCCCTTATGGCTTCATCGTCCGATCCCACCAACCGGTGAGTTTTCTCTGGTTAAGACATATTTATGGGTGCATAGGTTTCGTAAATGCTTAAGTAGTATTGCTGATTTGGTTTTATTTATGAATCTGGTGAAGGGAGGCAGCAACAGCAATTAGAAGGAAAAACAATGGACCTCCATTCAAGTTCTTGGTTCCTCTTATCTATGCTCCTGTTCTTCCTCTAAGTAAGCTTCTTTTTTTATTCCTGAAAAATTAAAAGGCAATTTTCTTATGTTTCTTGTAATGGGTTTTGTCTATTTTTGTGTTTAGTAATGAGTTTGTTTTATGTATATAAATTTTTCAGTTCGGCTCACCCTGCGTAAGAATCCTGTTGTAAGGGACCGTCTTTTCACGGCTGTCTTGGCTGGTGCTTTTGCTCATGGCTTTTACTTGGTGTATCCTTTCTTTTATTTCCTTGTTATTTGATAACGCAATTCGATTCCAGTGCTATGTGATTCTGACTTGTGAATGGTTAAGCAATCATATCATTGTGTAGTATGCTTTAATGTGCTCATTTTGGTCTATAAAGTTATTGATTCTCAGTGACTGTGACATTCTTTTGAGGGTTTCGATTTCTAGATTCGTATTTTATTTGAGAAAATAGTATATAGACAATTGCATGGATCAAAATGAATGCAAGTAGTTGGAAACTAGAACGCCTTCTATATAAATTGCGATGACATTATTTATAAACTTCTTTCCTGTGTTCAAAAACAATGTTGTAATTCGGTGACTAATTGAAGTTGATGGAAGAAGGATATGGAGTTTAATTTTAAGTAATTTTTGTTAGATCATTAAGCTGGATATGTGGCATATTGTATGCTGTCATTCAACTCTTAGACTGGAGCTGTTAGTTGTTGAAACTGTTATGTGTCCTCTTGATTCGAGCTAGTATAGATGGATGATTCATTACATGCATAATTTGATGGCGTACTACCACTTTGTAATTTTGCAGCTAAATTCTAAATATTTAGAATCTTTTACTAGGCTCATCTGGAGGTTATAAAAAGGTAGGGAATCTGATATTGAGGGATAGCTTATGACAATATGTTTAAGTTGAAACACTACAAGTTCGTGTTTGTAGCGAACAAGATATTCAATTGTATAATTGTTATTATTATTTATTTATTTATTTATTTATAGGTTGCATTGCCATCAAAATATAATATAGTTAAAGTTCCTTTCTGTTTATGTGGCTCCCTTTGTGAATGGGATGCCACTGCACTTTTGGCAAACTGTATAGTGCTTAGTCAGAATCTCATGCTGTAGTAGTACAAATAATTCCTCTAGATAATCTGATTCTTCAACTGTCATGAGTCCTCCAATTCATGGTCTTTCTGGATTTAATGTTGTACACCTTTGGTTGTTTCTATGTTCCATTGGGTTGTTGCTGATAAATTGCAAAACATATTGCCTTGCATGTCTTCTGTAGCATCTGCACACATGTTTAATTGTGTAATTTTGTAGATTGAGTAGCAATCAATATTCAAGAATCAAGACTGACTATGAAAACTGTAGCAGATATATGTGAAAGAGTACATGTAAAACTATGGCAGAGATCTGTGAATCAGTACATGAAAACTACTACAGCAAATCAAGCCACTGAAAAAAAAATGGAAACAAGGCGAATTTCCTAACATCAGGATATTTCTTTCTTTTCGTTTTTTTCAATTGAGAAACTGTTTGAACCAGGTTGGGAAAAAGTTTGACTCAAATGCACCATTTCATGGCTGATGGAAAATTTATAATATAGAATGAGGATGCTACATTTTATACGATTCTAGATATGATTTTGTGCTTTTTTTTTTCTTTTTCTGAATTTGTAACAGTTTAATTCAATTATTACTCGGTGAAAACTGACATGGAGGCTTTCTAGGTAGTTTGTCTGACTTGGTTCTCATTTGAGCCTTAGGGTGTAGTCAGAAGTTGGTAGCGTCTATGTGGAGTTATGGTTTACTGCCTGCCCATCATTAATTAGATGGCAGCAATTAGTTTTTGATGTCAAAATGCTGCAAAATTATAAACTTTACCCATGCACGATGCTAGTGTAAAGTTTACTACTCTTTCTTTTGTCTTCTCTATGTATTTTGCTTGGTTTCCTTGATATACATATGTTCAGAACAGATATCTATGACAGTGAAAGCAAGTGAACATCAACTCCCATTGAGAAGTCCTAGTGTTTGCTCCTTGTTGACGTCTGCAACTTCCACTGGTTCGCAGATCGAATGGCAGTCAGATGTTCTCAGCAGACAATAGCTTACAAAAAATTTGGATTTTGTTCGTCTCTTGTTTTGGAATATTGATTGCATTGATACCCTTGTTCTGGGGCATAAATTTAAGGCACCGCATCTTACAGTTGTAGTTTAATAGGAATAATTTCAGCCTGGTAGATTGCTTTTGTCAATGCAACAGGAAAATGTCTTTTTTGGTTTTCGGACTTCTCAGACGTGAAACTTCTTTTATTGCTTGAACTGTGCCTCGAATGCAGTTTTAGATTTTCTTTCAATCAGTTGTTAGCTACCATTGGATTGTTCTCTTTCTTGAGTGTGAGTCGTGAAATTATTTATTTTTCGTTGTATTTGTAGCTAAAATTCAAAGACAAATGTGATGAACTCGTGACCTTCCTATGATTTACCTTATTCTGTATGATGCATCAAATAGGACTGAAGGAAGCTTCATATGCCGATCAGACGATTTTGATGGGCATGAATAGATCATCTTCTAGACTCAGTAACGCAAAATCATTGTCAAATTCAATCATCCAAGCAAGCAAATTCTACACTAACTTTGACTGAGAGCAACTCTGCTGTCCCTTGTTGGTAGAGCCTCGGATTCTGCCTGCCAAGATGGCACTGAAACAGGATTCTTCTTCAGTGGCAGGGCAATTTAAAATCAAATACCTAAAAGAAGCATCAAAACGTCCTAAAAACTAAAAGAAATCAAAAGACAAAGAAAGAGCCGAGGTCTTGAGACTTGAAAAGCAAATGAGAGGAGGAAGCCTCATAATAGAGGACATCCACATCCATTCCTGTACAATGAAAGCAAAACAAGAATGACTATTTGCAGTTGATCAAAGAACAGCTCAATCAAAAAACGTATGGCAATCTGACCTAAAGGGAAGCCTCAATTATTGCTGTTCAACCTCCACATTCTTATCTCCGAAATGGAAGTAATATGTACGGATGAAAAAAACTCTGCAAAACTGTGGCATATTTAAGCAGCATCTTTATAGCATCCAACTTCCACAAATCTCCACAATAGTCACTAATTTCAATAGTCCTGAGGTGTGCTGAGGAACATGCTTGCACTTGTTCAAATTTCCATTCTTCCACTGAATAAATCAGTAGCAATCTTAAACCAGTTTGGACATCAATCGGGACAAAGAATTTCTTTTCTAGGCAATTTTAAGGGTGCAACTCATAAATGGGCTCGGAAAATATTGATCCCCCAAATTGAATTCCAGTTGATCTAGGAATAATAGCTAACCACTGATCTCTCAGAAAACTACCCTAATGCTTTCAGCTGCCCATCAGAGCCTCAGCTATAGTAATTGCAATAATACAAATGAGTTAGGGATGTTTTGAGAAACACATAAGCAGTGTGAATCCAATACAGGATAAATTGGCTGAGTGGATTCAATACAGGATCATCTTTGATATACAGTCAGAATTTCAATCATCTCAAGTTCAGGTATCCAACCAAGTCCTTCAGTAACAATTGACCAAAAGAGCAACTCTGCGTTTCTGCTGTCCTTTGTTGATAGAGGTACAACCGCAGGCAATAGGTTTGGGAGTAAAACAACCAACATAGAGAATTAGTCATGAAATCTGGATAGTGCCTCCCAATTTCTTGCGAGGCAGAGCAACTGAAAGACGACCGGAAGCTTTGGAAACATAAAAACACAGGTAAAACGTAAAAGAATCGTTGGAAGACGATGAAAAATAAATAGTGAATGACAGTGGGAAGATAAACAGAATGTCAACATCTTTAATTGTTCCAAGAAGTTTAGATAATAAACTTAAGCTTGCTTGCTGCTTCAAGCTAGGGCAAAGTTAAGGAACCCCATATAGAAGGTAATAGCCACCAAAGGACGGAGATTTGTTAAAACTAACTAGTTGTATACTACTGTTTCCTATACCATCACAAAAGCCAACAGATCATTTATTTTCTTGAATGGTACACACATTAGATATCATAATGAGATCTCTGTTCCATAAGAAAGAGAAGAAGAGGAACACAATGGCGTCGTTAAAATTATGGAAAAAACCTGAACTTAAATATGTACAGCTATGAATTAGAACTATACAACAAATTGATTCCCTGCATATAAGTTTTTCTTTGCCTTCCTCTACGAAGATTGCCAAAAGAAGAAGTCAGGGAAACGTCACCTTTGGACTTATTTCTACAAATTGTTAGAACGTTTTAGAAATGACTATGACTCCTCATGAATACATCTCTGCCTCCATGACCCGACCACATTTGATCTTTCGCTTAATGTGTCATTTTTTTCTCACCAATTTCTAACCTTCCCTGCCACTCCATACATAACATCTTCTAAGCTCGGGGACAATGTAATGAAGTTCCTCCTCCGAGAAAGATGCGTCATCGCATTATCACCACCGGGTGCTGATATCTAACTTGGTGAAAAGCCAGTGATCATTTTTCTTGTCATTGCATGGGCGTTTATAGTAAGCCGCAAAGATGTCCTTGCTGATATTGTGTGGTTATTTCGGAAGAAGACTTCGAAGAATCAACGGTTCAAGAGTTTAATTTGCTAGGCAATCGGAAAGAGTGACCAGCTGGAAATTAATGTCTTTCCCTGGAGCAATTACCGACCAAAAGAAAACTTTCGTACTGCCACCCCACCTTAATCAGTCTTCTTTCATGCCACCAAAATTTCAAAGCCAACGGACGCTTTTTGGAAGTTAAAATAACCAGATAAATTGTGGAGACATATGCAACTACAAAATGTCCCTTTGTGGTGCTTGGCTGTGACGAAGAAATTCAGAATATTCCATTTACAAGGGGAGGAAAATGGTATGAAATTGAAATTAAGCATCTCTCAGGCTGACATCATTACAATCACTGACAAAGATTTCAAGAGTAATTTGAATTTTGGTTCTCGTGACTCCTTCAAAAACTTGAGTCTTCCCAACAATATCCCACAGATCTCCCTGCAAATTGCATGTGTCCAACCTACTAACCCAATTCAACTGTGACACCGCAGTGAATCTTACTTCTCATTTTGACTATGGTTACCAAGGCTACCAGAAATTCAACATCTACTATAATTCCGAGAACAGAAAGTTACCTAGTCTTCCGGCTAACTGTTCTATTGTTCAGCTCCGGCAAATAAAATCAACTGGTACAATGGCATATTCGGACTGTTAACTGCTAAATTTTCCACAACGCAAATATGTTAATTATGACCAATGCTTTTGGTGTCCACTCGAGGGAAATATATAACAGCACGGAAAGTTTCAGTCGTAAGAAATATCACTGTAGCGTGGCTACGTGTTTCATGTTTAGTTTTAAATTTATAAATGATAATTAAAAACTTAAAATCATTGAACTCTCGTGGTAAAGTAAACACATTCATAATGAATAAAGTGAAATAATTAGGTTAAAAAAGAGTCCTTAATCTAATTAGATAAACACTAAATAAAGACAGTCGCATAAAATCGTAAAGTATTAACGTAAATGGTTTTGGGCTCTGTAGTATATATAACATGATCAACATCCTGTAATAACCAAAACTACTACTATGATTGTAAATTGCAATTACTACTGTCTTAGCAACCATTAGAGGAGACTTCTCCTAGACTCTCAGACTCTCCTTCTCTTCAGCAATTCAGAGGTGTAATAATCGCTGTTTCTTGAGTTCCATAAGCATTCCAACAAAATGGATCATCCACAAATTCACCCTGATCTTCTGGGAGAAGCTCAACCTCTGATAGTAGTATATATTGGTGCAGGCTACAGTATCACTACAAGCAAAGTGTATTGGTGGGTTTCGAACATCATAGGTGCCCTTAATGTTCCTGTATGTTACACCTGTTACATAGACAGCTGAGGTCTCATTTAGACAAGCCTTTGATAGGTAGTATTGGTCTATGATCATGCAATTCCTAACATTCTTCATTTGGATGTTTTCAAAGTTTATGTCTGATACAGAACCCCTGCCGCTTTCCCATGTCTTTATCCTCATTCCGTTGTCTGATTCTTTTATTACTGTAGTTCGGACGGTTATGTTCCGTACACGTGCCTGGGAATTGTGCTCTCCTAGGCTTACGATGCAGCAGAAAAAAGAGAAATAAAAATGGCAGAATTTTAGAACATTGAAGCAGACTTGACTTTGCATATAAGTAAATTCAGCGAGAATTAAAAATCATGTGGAACTTCGTTGTTGCATTCGTATGTGAAAAATAAAAAATAAGCACATCTCAAAATAAAAGGATGGACGAATTCTTTGGAGAAAGTAAAACATAAAACAAATATGCTCTTTTGATTTATAAAATAAAATTAGAAAAAATAACATCGCTAGTTTTAAGTGGTAGACAAATTATGCAATAATAATGTACAACGCAAGTTAATTTATTTTTTACTTGATTTATAATTGGCAAAATAATGTTTTTTTTCAAACGATACAATAAAAATTCATGAATGGACTTTTGATAGGTTTTGCATCATATTTTTCAAGAATGCAACTTTTTTATGTTATGTATCACATTTTCTAAAAGAAATTGTATAATTAATTTTCTGAATTGTAATGAAAACAGAAATTTTTTCACAGAAAATAAATTATCATGTTTATGTTATTTGCTATTCACAATACTGAATAGTATCATTCACAACTATCATGTTTTAACCATCTAAATGAATTATCAAACTAAATATAGAGGGAAAAAATACTATTTTTATTTGGACACTTAACTAAAAGATAAATTATAATTACCTTCTTGAGGTAACAAGAAATTAATTACAATGACCACTCAAAACTTTGAAAAATCGACCCAAACACCTTTTTTTACCCAAAATGTCTTTGATTACTATTTGATGAAATACTTCAGCCGAAAAAGAAAATTATATAATTAGTAATATTAATTATTTATAATGTACACATTAATTGTGCATGGAATTTATAATGCATCCAACGTATTAAAGAAACCAAACTTTATATCAAAATCTAAAAATATTACATATAAAAAGAGTAAGGTAAAAGAAAGAAAGCTCTCTGGCTCGAAGAAAACATGCTAAAAACACAACGAAGAATTCCTTGCACATTTTTAGAACCACATCAATATTGCACAAAAACATGTGCCACTCAAACAAAACAAGTTCCATTTTGAATTACAATTACTAGCAGCTTGACACATGCACATAAATATCAATTCAAGAGTTAACTTCTAGCTAGGGATGGCAATGGATATAAGTAATTGATTTATCTAACCCAATAAGTATCTATTATAAACATCTAGTGAGTATTAAAATGAAAAAATGTAAAACAAATGCATATCCATTAATATTATTTTATAATATGGATACCCACTATATATCCTACTCTAATTTGTTTTGAAATTTTTTAACATGTACGATCAAATTGCACAAACATTAAAGATTAAGGACCACTAAAATTTGTAAATAAGGGATCAAAATGTGGAAAAAAAATTAAGGACCAAAAAGACTTTCTTGAAAATTATAAAGGCTAAAATAAAATATTTTGACAAGGCCTTTTTAGGGATACCAAAAGAGTATTAAATAGGCAGGTAAATTGCATATATACTAAGTATGGATCGAATAAAAATTTATAATGTGATTTCTAAAAAACAAAAATAGATAAATTATTTTTTTAATAAATAAGATAAAAAAAATTAAATTAATGAATCGAATATCCTCTATTGCCATCCCTACTTCGATCTAATAATTTTTATTTTTTTCAGCAATAAATGTATCATCGGGTCAGCTTTTATGTATTTCAAGATTAATCATTCTTTAAATATTATTAAAGAACACTCTCCAACGTATCACTTCAAATATGTTAACAATATATTTTAAAAAATATTAGTTATAAAGATCAAACTCTAGATCTATTACACAAGCCAAGGCTTGCGGGCTACCACTTACCTCCATCCAAAAAATTGATCTGCTTGATTCAACCTGCATATATGGTCAAAACTTGAAAAGTAAGATCCGTCTCATATTCTTCCAAGACATGCACAATTTTCAAAAGCTCCAGAAACAACTACCAACCTTTGGATCACAACTCATCGCTTGTTTATGCTTAGTAAAACTTAAAAATCAAACCAACGACAGCTATAGCCGCCACCTGAAATATAATAGATGAGCTCCCTCCCTTGAAATCGTCATGTCAAACGTCACTTGTCAGTCCAAATCCTTGTATATATTATATGATTAGCCATTAATGCTTCGTCAGATTCTGTGTATTGCCTTTGCATTTACCTTAGTGATCATCACACTTTCAAAAATCTTCAAGACCACAACGTTTTTGTACGTCTAGGCTAGCCATGGCACAGCCCCACATCCTCCTTGTAACATTTCCCAGTCAAGGCCACATAAATCCCTCCCTCCAATTCGCTAAGCGCCTTATCGGTCTCGGCACCCTTGTAACTTTTGCTACTAGCATCTCTGCTTTCAAGCGAATGGCCAAAACCCCTGAGCGAGATGGCTTATCCTTCGCAACCTACTCGGATGGCTACGACAATGGATTCCCTCCGGATGGCGGCATGGATGGCTACATGGCTGAACTCAAGCGTCGTGGCTCCGAAACTCTTGCTGATTTAATTGAATCAAGTAAGAAAAAGGGTTGCTTTTTTAACTGCGTGGTTTATACAGTATTTATACCATGGGTAGCAGAGGTGGCGCGTCAACATCACATCCCATCGACACTTCTTTGGAATCAACCTGCCTTTGTTTTTGATATCTACTATTATTACTTCAATGGTTACAAGGATGTCATGGAAAAGAGTATGAATGATCCCTCATTGTCAATAGAGTTACCAGGATTGCCTCGGCTTACTTGTGATGATCTGCCCTCCTTTTTAGACCCTTCAAGTGCATACAATTTCGCAATCCGGCATTACAAGTGCAACTACAAATCCTTAGTGAAGAAACCAATCCAAAAATACTTGTAAACACCTTCGACGCTTTGGAACCTGAGGCGTTAAGAGCTATCGACAAATTTAATTTGATTGGAGCTGGGCCTTTGATTCCTTCTGCTTTTCTAGATGGAAAAGATCCGTCTGATACTTCTTTTGGAGGAGATCTTTTTCAAGTTCATCAAGAGGACGAGTATGTCAAATGGCTGAACTCTAAGGATAAATCTTCTGTGATCTATCTATCATTTGGAAGCATCTATGTATTATCCAAGAGACAAATGGAGGAGATTGCTCATGGCTTGTTAGATAGCGGCCGCCCGTTCTTATGGGTTATCAGAGGAATGGGAAAGGAAGGAGACAACGAGGAAGAGAAACTGAGCCGTAGAGCAGAACTGGAAAAGCAAGGGATGATAGTGCCATGGTGTTCCCAAGTTGAAGTTTTGTCCCATCCATCCATAGGATGTTTTGTGAGCCACTGTGGATGGAATTCAATCTTGGAAAGCATTGTTTTAGGGGTCCCCATGGTGGCATTTCCTCTATGGAGTGATCAATTGACAATAGCCAAGCTTATCCAAGATGTGTGGAAGACAGGGGTGAGGGTCGCGAAAAATGAAGAAGGGATAGTTGAAGGTGATGAAATTAAGAGGTGCTTGGATTCTGTTATAGAAGAGAAAAGAGAAAGGATGAGAAAGAACGCCAAAGAATGGAAGGATTTAGCAATGGCAGCTACCAAGAAAGATGGATCTTCGGACAACAATCTTAGAGGATTTGTAGATGATATTGGAAAAGTTTGTTGCTAGAGCACTATATATAGATATATAGTTTCTCGACTGATTTTGTCTTTTATATGGTGTTTGAATTTTTTGAATTATTTTGATTGAAATTCTATATTTTCTTTTTCGCATTGGTTGAATTTCTTTACTCATCATTTTATTTTGGTTCAATCTTTTCGTTAAAACGTCTTTAGTTCGTGAACTGGCATAGCCAATGAGATTAGAAACACTGACCAAATGTGATTTAAAAGAAGATTAAAGTAAAACACTAAGAAACATGAAAATCCTTGTGAATGTTCACAAATTGTTACAAACTTAAGCAAAGACTAGATGTGTACTCACATCTTACTATTTAAGCTTATAGGAATAATCATTCGGTGGCTACTGTCCTCCTCCACATCTCCAAAAACCCCTTGTTTAATATGCACAACCTCTCCAAAACTCTTGCATTTTCATTAAAAAGAGAAGTCAGACGTTGCTCTGGTCCCGTTCTCTTGAAGTCTCCGATATAAACAGTCTTTGAGTCCCCTCAAAAAACAGGAAGGCACCGGATCCAATTTCCATTCATTTGCATCACCAGATGTGCACAGGTGGATCCCCTATATAATCGTCATAGAATAATTAATTTAGACAAAATTTCAATTGTGAAGTTGATTGGAATTCAGGTTTCAGTTTTTGATCTAGTTGTTTGCCATATCTGGTCTGGTCTGGTATCTCTTGGTTAGGAAAAAAAAATATATATATACATATGTTACAGAGAAGGAATCACAGTTGCAAGAAGCTTACCCTCCGAAACTGTAGAGTTGTTAGACACGGGCAGTTTTGTAGCAGCTTCTGCAATGCTCCAGAAGCGAAATTCACAGCCCCGAAATTCACTTGTAGAAAGGCCAAATTGAGAAACACAGGCATATGAGTGAAGGATTCTTCTCTGTAATTGAGAGCCTGGAAAAAGAAGATGCCATATGTGTGATTCATGAACACAGCATATTTCAAGAAGTGTACAGATTATAATAGAAATACATAATAACTGCATAATTAAGTAGCATACCTTAACCATATCGCAGCATAGAAACAGATCTGTGACATTAGAGAGCCCTTTGAGAAGCTTATGTGCTCGATAAGCAACTTCTGCTTGTCGTCCTAGCGCTTCAAAATAACTTATTTTTCCCACAGTAATTGAAGAATCAACCTGTGAAGATAGATCGCATAAGGAGTAATCATTCTTCAGTTCACCTCAATAATCAAATGTTTTAATTCTCTTTCCGAAAATCAGAATCTGACAATTATTCCGCTCTTGAGCTACAGATCCAAATATCAGCAAGGTTTGAAGAGTGGGAATGGAAATACAAGCAGTTTTAGCATGATCCCAGACACATTCATACAGCACCAACTTCTCTAGAACTAGGCAGCCAGAGAACAGCTGATTTGTTGATTGCTCGTCCACAAATGGAGCATGCTTAATGGTCAAGATTTTGAGGCGCGGAAACCAAATGCGAGGAGGAATGAGAAACTGAAACATATCTAGTTTTAGCTCAGTTAGTGTTCACAAGTGAATAGGTAACGATGGAATGGAAATGGTAATGCCATAGATATTCGAAGCTTTAATACTTGCACGTTATGGTACAATGCAAGAGAAATCCAATTATTAACATCAGTTGCATCATCCTTGTCATCACCACCACCAATATCTCCATCGCTATTGTCATCTTCATCACCAGCCCCATCATTCTCATTGTTGTTGTCGTCACCTTCACCATCATCATTGTTGAATGCAGTGTCTTAGGAGCTGCTGCTACAGGACTGCTGCTAGTGCTGATATGTAGCTGACAAGGCTGTTGTTTGTGGAAGTGTTTTTGCACGTATAGAAAACAGTTAGAAGAACAAGGAGAAAACCTGGTCTCTAGGAGGTGGTTATTCAAACTTGGTTTTAGGAGTTTGTTATTCTATTTTGTTAGTCATGGACTTAGTGCCATAATAATCTCCATTTTATGCTCATCTTAGTTAACAATTTTCATGTATAAATTGATGTTTTATGATTCAATAAAATATGTAGATTTTAATAGTCTAAAACCATCTTCTTTTTGCTTACCTTTGTACTCTATTTCTAGCAAAAACCAACAAATTGGTATCGAGCATTGATCTTGAGAGACCTGTGAAGTTGAGAGAACCTAAACACTTTTCCTAAACACTCACCACCTATCCTAAACAAAACACAAAAAACCTACAAACAATTCGGAATGGATTCAGAAACTTCATTTACTGCAGTGGCACCTCCGAGTGTTTGATGGAACAAATTATCAAGTATAAGCCGTCAAGATGGAAGCCTACCTTGATGCAAATGATATCCGGGAACTCGTTGAAGATGAGTACGAAGTTCCTCCTTTTCCAAACAATCCAACGATGGCACAAATTAAAAATCACAAGGAGAGGAAACAAAGGAAATCAAAGGCTAAAGCCAACCTATTTGCAGCTGTCTCATCTACAATTTTCACCAAAATCATGACATTAAAGATAGCAAAAGAAATCTCGGACTTCTTGATAAACGAGTATGAAGGAGATGAAAGAGTGAGAGGCTAAAGACCTATCAAGTATCACCTTGGCGAGCTTTTAAATGCATTACAAGCACAAGAACAAAGGAGGCTTATGAGACTAGAAGGATCTATAGAAGGGGCTTTACAAGCCAAATCACACAACAATAAAAATGAAGGCAAAAGCAAAGAGAAGAAAAACAACTACAAGCGACCTCGATTAGGTGCGAGCGAGTTACAACAACAACAATAACACTCAAACCTATACACCTTGCCCTCACTACAAAAAAGATAAATCATCCACACAAAAAATGCTGGTGGAGGCTCGATGTAAAGTGTAATAAATGTGGACGAGTTAGGGTATATGAAGAGGATATACAAAAGTCAATAGCAACTAAGAGAAGCCAAAGTTGCTGCTGATCAACCACAAGAAGAGCAACTTTTGTTGCATCATGCTTTGCCAGCGAGCAGCTCTACAAAAAGTTGGTTGATAGATAGTGGTTGTACAAACCACATGACTTATGAGCTCTTCGGAGAACTTGACAAAGCTGTCATTTCCAAAGTTAGAATTGGGAATGGAGCGTACATTACAGCAAAAGGCAAAGGGATAGTAGCGATTAAAAGCATCTCAAGTTTGAAACTAATCTCAAATGTGTTATAGGTTCTCGAAATTGACCAAAACCTTTTGAGTGTTGGTCGGTTATTGGAAAAAGGCTATAAGGTTCGTTTGAAGATAAAAATTGCATGATTAAGGATACGAGAAAAAAAAGGAGGTTTTTAGAGTTCAAATGAGAGGTAAAAGCTTTGCCTTGAATTTGTTCGAGGAGGAGTAGGTCATGAGTACATAAAGAAGATAATAATACAATGCTTTGGCATAGGAGATTGGGGCATTTTCATCATGCTACCTTACTCTTCATGAAAAAGAACAATCTTATTAAAGGCTTTCTCGAATTAGAAGAAAAGCTTCCTACATGTGTTCCTTGTTAGTATGGGAAGCAAACAAGCTTTCTTTTCCATAAAACAAGGCCCGAAGGGCTACACAAAAGCTGCAATTAGTACACACGGATGTGGGAGGACCTCGGAAAGCACCATCATTGAATGGAAGTAAGGATCATATTACTTTCATTTATGATTGTACAAAATTGTGTTGGGTTTATTTCATGAAATTTAAATCCGAGGTTGTTGAAATATTTTGAAAGTTTAAAGCTTGGGTAAAAACACAAAGTAGATGCCGAATGCGAGTGATCGGATCTAATAATGGAACTGAATACACCTCGGATAGATTCAATAAATTCCTTGAAGATGCAAGTATTGAGCACTAGTTGACGACTCCTTACACTCCTCGACAAAATGGAGTTGTAAAGAGGAAAAACATAACACTCATGGAGATGACCGGATGTTTATTGCATGATAAAGGATTGCCTAAGAATTTTGGGTTGAGGCTGCAAACACAATAGTCTTTCTCGCTGAATAGATTGCCAACAAAAGCTTTACGGAAAAAGACTCCATTTGAAGCATGGTATGGCTACAAACCAAAGCTGTTGAATTCAAAAACATTTGGTTGTCTTTGTTTCTCTTACATTCCTCGGATAAAGAGACACAAATTGAATAAAAAGCAAAACCAAGGATCTTTGTAGGCTACGACTCAATCTCAAAGGCCTACAAGATCTATCTTCCATAAAACAACAAAGTAATTGTCGGCAAGAATGTCCAATTCCTTAAGTCGGATAGTTGGAGCTAGGAAGATGATAAGAAGCGGGAATTTTAGGAGGAGAATAATATGTTGATGAAGAATGTGTCGGGGAACTAGATCACTTTCGATATCTATTAGAGGAGCAATGTTGTTGTAATGGAGCCTTACGGGTATAAAGAAGCTGCAGTAGATTAGAAATGGATGACTAAAATGAAAGAGGAGCTAAAGATGATTGAGAAAATCAGACTTGGGACCTAATAAACAAACCTACACATAAAAAGGCAATTGGAGTCAAATGGATGTATAGAACCAAACTCAATCCCGATGGTTCTATGAATAAACACAAAGCAAGGTTGGTTGTCAAAGGATATGCTCGGATGTTTGGGGTGGATTTTTCTAATACTTTTGCTCTAGTTGCTAGATTGGATACTTGTAAGATTGCTACTAGGCATTGCTGCATAGAAAGGATGGATAATACACCAAATGGACGTCAAATCAGCCTTCCTAAATGGATACTTAAAAAAAGAAATTTTTGAGGAGCGACTCGAAGGTTTTACTATTCAATAATAAGAGGAGAAAATATACTTGCCGAAAAAGGCCTTATATGGCTTAAAACAAGCACTAAGAGCCTAGTACGGTAGAATAGATGCACACCTTGTAAACTTAGGCTTTGATAAAAGCTTGAGTGAATTTGCTTTGTATATCGGGAAGGTTGATGATGAAATGATTATGGTATAGCTGTATGTTGATGATTTGCTTGTTACGGGAAGCAGTATGATGTTGATTGGCAAGTTTAAAGAAGAAAT